ACTGGGCAGCCCCAGTGGAATGTTCTCTCCGTCTGCGTGGGTCTGTGCATTTTCACGTCCTTAGGACCGCCCAGGGCAGGGTTCTTTCTGGGCAAACCTGCGCCCACAAAATCTCTCACGTTCTTTGGGTTCGGATAGCCCAAAGCAGAGATTTTTGGGACCGCCCACACTGAAAGAATGCCTCACTTCCCTTAAAGCCTTGCGCTTTCACGGGCAAAACTGTTACTGACCCCACGTAGACTCCATTCGTAAATCTCTCAGTGACGACTGGAGTTTATGGTTTGGAACCGTAGCCGCCGCGTGGTACCACAAATAAGTGACGACTTTTTTCTGGACCTCCGGTTTATTTTCTTGCCTGAATCAGTCATGGGGAACGTATTTTCTAACTCCCAAAAGACGCCTTTAAAATGCCTAATTTCCAATTTACGTACTCTAAAAATTAAAGGCACCATAAAAACTAAACAACTAACTTTTTACTGCCAGGAGGTCTGGCCAACCTACCCGCTTATCGGCAAGCCTTGGCCTCCGCAAGGAACATTTGACCCCTGCATTCTCAGGAACTTGTACGATTTTTGTCAAGCTGGCAACAAGTTATTAGAACTCCCTTATGTCCAAGCCTTTCTTATTCTGAGAACACACCCATCTCTCATTAAGTCTTGTGCTCCCGCTGAGATACTTTTAGCTAAGTCTACTGCGCCGCAAACTTTTCCGTCCTGCCCTCCAGTGTTTTTCCGGCCGCCGCCTGCCTACCACCAAACTCTTTCCCTGCCGTTACCTCCCGCCGGGCCGCGCTCTCCTCCCCCTATGCCTGATTCTCTCAGCAGCTCTAATCCCTCTCCATTGCAGATACCTTCCACTGTACGATCGTCTCCCTCTCCGCCTTCCAGGACCCATAATTCTCCCAGCAGCTCTAATCCCTCTGTGTCGCAGTTATCTCCCGATGTTCCATCCTCTCCCCTGCCTTCTCCTGGGACCCATAACTCTCCCAGTGGCTCTGATCCCTCTGTTAGTGCTTCCTCACAGTCTCCGACTTCTCCTGAGAATTCTCTATCCCCTACAGCATTCTCACCGCCTGCCCACCATACTAGGTCTTGGTCGCTATGTCCTTCCAGCAGGTCGCGTGATTGTTCCAGCTTGCGTGGGGAACAGTCGCCATGTTGCAACCCTCTGCCACGTGGCATGGCGCCGCCATGTTCAGGAGGGCCACATGGCGACAGGGCGCCGCCATGTTTCGGGCCACGTGACAGGGCGCTGCCATGTTCCCAGACGCCGCCATGTTCCGGGGGGCCACATGGCGACAGGGCGCCGCCATGTTTTGGGTCACGTGACAGGGCGCCGCCATGTTTCCAGGACCCTCACTGTCAGCGGGTGTCTCCTTGTAGCTCCTCTTGTAAACTGCAACAGCCGCCCTGTTGCAGTGCACATGACGCTTCATTGTGCTGCCGACAGCAGTCCTCTGGCTGCAAGGCACACAGTGAGACGCCATCTGCTCGTGTTTCCCAGGGTGACCGGCAGCAGCTCTGTAGCCGCTCTACAGATGATTGCTCACATGCGCCTACCGGAAGGATGGCTGCTCAAAAGCCCTCTGCTCCGAAATCTCTGGCTCTGCTACCGCTTCGGGAGCCAGCTGGCCCCAAGGAGCTTGTTAACATCCATGTGCCTTTTTCCCTTTCTGATCTATCTCAGATTACCCTTAAATTAGGTAGCTTTTCTGCTGACCCACAGAATTATATCAGGCAATTTAAATTCATTACTAATTGTTATGATTTACATTTTAAGGACATTTATAATGACTCTGGGCCTATAGCTGTGCCAGAGCAGGACAAGCATACTAACTATAACAAACTTTTAAAACAGGTCCAGGAGGCTAATCAAAACCCAGCTGTGTTCCTTTCTAATCCTCGTGCCCTGCAAGCAGTTCCAGCTTTGCTCGCTGTGTCGGGCCGCCTCCCAGCCCCTCCCCCATGCGCCATCCCAGCCCCTCCCTCCCCTGTGCACTGCCGTCGCCGCCGCTGCCATCTTACCCGTTTCCGGGGGCAGTCTGAGCCCGCCCCTGTGCGCTACATCCCAGCGCTTGCCCCACCCACTGGGCGTGCTCTGCCGGAGCACCGCGAAACAGCAGCTCAGCGGCTCTGCTCAGGCATGCTTTTTTTTTTACAATTTAGCTCCGCTCAAAAGATGCTTTTTTATTACAATTCTCAAACCATTTAATCAAGGTTATTGGCCACCTGATAATTTTACCAGCCTTGTTTATCAATCAAAGCCTTCACCAATCTCCTGTTTAACAACTAAGGTTATAAATTCCTTTTTGCTGGGAACCACTAGCTCTATTTCAAGACAAGGGTTTTCTTCAAAGTTTTATTTTATTTGTCTTGGTTCATACTACTGCAAATAACAACTTTAAAAGTAAATGTGTTCAGAATTTGACAGTATTAGATCAGTTTTGATTGATTTATTCATAAGATTGCTAAACCTTTACTGCAAAATGTTTCCATTAAAGCCTTGTTTGGTAGACTAAAGCTTTGTTAATTCTACATGTCACCCTAAAAAAAAAGCGATATGCCATCCAGATAAAGCCTGCTCTCTAATCTAAAATGCCAATATTAAATTCCTACATACTTACTTAATTCTACTGTAGTCCAAATCCCAAACAAAAAGGCAAAACTTGACCTTCAAACCTTATAGAGATCTTAATATGGTTTTTTATATTTTTAACACTTGTGACACTTGGAGTTCTGAGACAGGTAAACCTACACAAGGTGGAGCTGCCTGCCCCCTCCATGGACCACGCTCAAATGCAGCAGAAGACGCCCCATCCTGGCATTCTTTGAGACCTTACTCCAGGGCTACTGGACTGTCCTAGCCACCAGAGAGTGGGTAAGTCATCCTAAGTTCTAGCCCTGACAGGAAATGTTGACACTGCCAGATTCGTCACCGACAGAAAATCGCTGCTGGAGGCTGAGGGGGTTCAGGGCAACCACAGCTCCCTTTAAGGTGTCCGTCTCAGATTCCAAGTCGCACTAAAGTCTCAGGTAAGACATTCTCTATATTTGTGGACATACAGGCCATATATACAGAGTTCTTCCTGAGTATTCAGGCTGCTATATTAAGTCCTCAATCTCTATGACAGGGTATTGATGGTCAACCTATGCCATTTACAAACAGGGCCTATTTTGTGCAGGCCCCAGTCCTAAATCTTAAAATGCCTTTTATACAGGCTTAGACACACTGAGGCCTCAACAGCTTCCACCTATTGTTGCTGGTGGACCCTTCCTCAGTGATATAGACCACCCCCTTCCTTTCTTGTTCACCAATTTGTCAGACAACCCTGGTCAAGACTCTCAGATACATTTTTGTCTTCTCACTTGGTTTATACTTTTTCAGGATACATAAAAGCCTTTCTCATACTTGCTAAAGTTCTGTTACAGCAAATCATTCCAAGGACTACAACCAGGTTACAGCGACCCATGCCTAAGTCAAAGTTGCTGGACTCCCAGCCCTAAATCTGATCATTCTGAGTGGTCGTCTCATCTTCTGTCGCCTACCCGTCTCCGTCTCACAAAGGCCTCACAGCCACAGTTAACAGCCTAAGTCATGTTTTGTTATCCATTTTGGTTCTTAATTTCTTACATTCTATTAATGATCATTTTTACAGCAGGACTCTAACAGTATTGCCTACAGACTCCAATGTCATGCACACCAGAGAAAAGCCTTACCAACCTACCGTCTTAACTTTTATGCTTTCAGATGGGGGAGTAATCACCTCTCATAACTCCACTCCTCCTAACCCCACGTTTAGTTTTCAGAATACTGCCTCACCGTGGAAATGTTTCTACATCAACATGGTCCTGATAGAATGATATGTCTAAATCAAAGGCACCTTTCCCTCTACCTCACCTGGGTCCTTAAATATGACAGTGCCATGTCTCCTCATAACATCTTGTCTCTTTGTTTTTCCAGTCTGACATACGTGCATTCACCAGTGAAGTTGTCCTGGCTAAAACACCTGGCAGCAGTGTCTACCTGGGCATCAACCTTCATCCCGTCGACTCCCCTAGGCTCCAGTACAGCGCCCTTTGCCAGCAGGAAGTAGTTAAAGAGAGAAATCTTCACCCCTTTTCATAATAATAACCATAAGACGGGATATGAAAGGTTTTGGCCCAGACAAGACACTGTAGCCAGGAAAGCCACAACCGGAAGCAGGAAGCCCCATCTTGCCCTGCCCCTAGGAAGTTACCTGTGACGCCATCTTCCCGCCCCTGGGAATTTACATATGGCGCCAAACCTAGGACCAATGGGCTACCTGTGTATCCCTAATGCCTGCCTTAGGTTCCACCCCAAACCGAGGCTATTTACAGGCCCCCACGCCGCGTGTCCGCCGGAGAGATTGCCGGACGCCAGCGGTGGGGTTGCCGGTCATCTCTCTCCGTGTTCTCAGAATAAAGGCCGCTTTTTATTTTATATTTCTCATCTTTTGTTAATATTTTTCATCTTTTGGAAACTATCAGGGTGTATTTGTTTTAATTTGTGTTTATTCTGTCTTACAGTTCTACCACACCCAGGATCTGTAGACTTCGAATATTTCTGCATTTATATGTTAGAAACAATGAGTCCAGAGCCAACAAGGAAAGTACTGGTCTCAACATAGTAGTCGCCATACTTGGAACTTTCTTGATTTAGCAGTAATTAGAAAGTAGAAATCACAGATTTCCAGTGTATGTGTCATACCTTTGAACAGACTGATCTTGCAGGACAAGTCACTGTACCTAAATTCTGGATTGCCTTCAGAGAGGCAAGAACTCAGACTAAAAGGCCAATTTTGCTTCTTTTGCTGAGCTTTCTGAAGATTTAACTATTACATGGACTGGTCTTTGGAACTGTATAAAAATATGGATTCAAGGGGAACATCCCAGAATCTTTGCTTTGTCCATATCTATTATTCCAATAAAAAGCAACTCAGTGAACCTACATCTGGCAACATTCAGGAATGAAAAGAAGGAGGCAGTTCAAAGCATCTATTTACTCCATCGAAATGTATTCAGATGCAGGTATTCTTAGCCTCTGTCCTTTATAAGAGGAAAACCACAGCACATAGACAGCAATTAGGTCTGAGACCATCCAGAGCTAACTGAAACATTTATAGACAAAAGGAAAATTTCAAAGGGAATAGGAATTAAAAGGTTAAGGGGGAAAAAATAGACTGAATTTCCATGAGAAATAGTGACTTAAATTCACACAGTAAACATTTCATTGATGTTTTGTTTTGCTTTGTGATTTATGATCTATAGATGCAACTTCATAGATTCAAGATAGAAAGGAGCTGAGATACATAATTTGTCAGACCAAGGGAGGTGGATCAAAAATTCTTAATTTCAACTTTCATTAAAATAACAAAGGATCACTCTTCCACTTTCTGAAATCTGAAACTTTTAGTGCTTGATAGGCCACAAATTTATGAAGTTTTCTTGCTATTTAGGAAGAAACTTCCCAGTATTATGCACAGAGCCTGTCTGGCCTCATCACAAAGTATTTCAACAAACCACTGCACCCAATAAATGCATTTCTTTCAGGCAAAAACGTTACAAGTGAAAATGTCAACAAAATCATTCATTCCTATTAACTGTTCTTTAATCTGGAATAAGTAGAAATGTATGGAACCAAGAATTACAGCAGACTTCTCAGCACAAACCATTAAATCACGAAGAGTGCGGGGGGAAATAATTCAAGCTTTGAAAGATAATAATCTCCAGCCAAGATTGAGATATCCTGCACAACTATTCCTGGAAATTGATGGAAAAACAAGGTGCTTCCAGGATAAAGAGGAACTAGAGGAATATGCAACCACCAATTCAACTCTACAGAGAATACTGCAGGATCTTCTAAAAAAGAAAAATACGAAGAATCCAGAAACAGTGGCAGAGAGACCACAATGAATGGAGCAGAAAGTGAAATGGAGAAGACAAACTGACAATTAGTGACAGAAAAAGAGCTCAACAGAAATGAGGCAGAGAAGGTTGGATGGTATGAACAGCCATTTTGGAGAAAACAAGACATCATAATAGCTAGTGCTGATTTAATATCCTCTTGTTTTGAAGTCCCATCAAGCTTTTATTCTTCTGTCTACAGTGGTCTTAACATGTTGTATCTTATTGGATTTTATTATATGTGATAATATAAACAAAAACTTTTATAGACAAGGAGATTATACAGAAACCATTGTTCATTTTCTGATAGTTGATTCTAAATACCCTGTAATACTGTCATTCTCTTGAATGGTTTTACATTGTTTTGATATCTTTGATGCTACAGTATACAAAGTTATACTCAAAGATTTCAAGGAAAGAGACACTGTGGTAACTACTTTTATGTCGGGATTATCTTGTGGTGAAACACTATTTTGCTTAAATGGTAAAAAAAAAAGTGAATAAAAAATGAACAATTTCCAAACAGTAAGCATAGGTGTGAACTGTCATTTGTAATGACTGCATAGTACTCCACCATAAGGACGAGCAGTTGTTTCTTTCACCAATCAGTAAAGACTGTTCAAGATCATTGATGGTGACATCATCATATGGGGTCAGACACAAAGCACAGGGCTTTAGTTCACTCCTTGGTCTTGTCACCTACTGAGAGTATTTAGACCAGTCAAAATCTGTGCGTGAAGTTAAAAAATCCACAATAATGGGGCTGGAGATTTAGCTCAGCAGCATAAGCACCTGCCTTGCAAGCAGGCAGTCGTGAGTTCAATTCCCGGTACCGATAAAAACAAAAAAAACAAAACAAAAAAAATTAGAATATATCATTCTTCAACTTTTACTGAGGCACAACTAAGGATGTAGAAATCTAATTGAATACAACAAAAGATTTACAGAAACCTTCTGAAATTCATCAAGCAACAGAGTTTTCACATGCTGAACTGAGGTTAAATGTGTATTTACTCTAACAGTTGTGAATGAGGGAGGGTGTGACAGATGTTTCAACAGAGTTTCAAACTTCCTTTCTGCTGCTGCTTTGCCTAAAGTATTTACAACCTGAAATGAAAAGAACAAGTTAATGTTTTTCTTTCATCAAACAAACTGAAATAATCAGCAGAATGAGATTTGTTCCACCTAACGAAACAACTGTTCAGCTCCATTTCAAGTTGGAGTTATCATTTTAGTGATAATTAACATTAAGGAAATAGTAACACTTCACAGGATTCTTGAATTGTGTTATGGTAATAAGCACTTAACATCATGTCTGACCATTACTGGTTTATAAAAAAAACACTGCCTCAACTGCAAAGCATTAACATTTTGAAAATATCAATATTTGCTGCATTTAGTCATATAAAAAAAACTGCCTCAACTGCAAAGAGTTTTGAAAATATCAGTATCTGCTACATTTATTCAAATAAATTCAAGATCTCATTCAATTATTTTTGTTCACAAATATATTCAATAACAAACTACTTAGGAGCCATTTAAAATATTTGAAGTATAAACAATATTAATATATTCACTGTCATCCAAAGATTCCTCCAGGACATCAGTTTTTAATATTTTTTTAAAAATGTAACAAATACATATGGTCCATAAAAAAACTGGTTGACTAGCAAGCATATCTGTCAGAAATGAAGGTATAAAGACCCAAACCACCAGCTTCCCTCACAACTAACTGAAGCTTTTCAAGCACGTATTTTTTGTTTTGTTTTTTTGAGACAAGGTCTTGCTTTGTAGTGCAGTGTTGGCCTCACACACGCAGATACCCTTGTAAGTTAGCCTCCCGAGTGCATTTAGAGAGGCACTCAACAAATTATTATTTTCACCCGAATGCTGGAGCATGCGATTTAAGAGAATGGGTGTGTTTCATATGCTGGATATTAGTTAAGAGCAGAGATCTTTTCTTGTTCATTCTTGTAACTCCTTCACTGTTATGCCCACTGACAGTTTTTCTTCTTTCCTACACCGTTTTTCTTCTTTCCTACACCGTATACCTTATTCACCTTGTTCTCAGCAGGCATTTGTTATCTGTGAGAAGACAATGGATTTTACTCACGTTTAGACAGACAACTGGTAAGAAACGAAGGCTGTAAAAAATTTCCCGTTAGACTTAATCTATTTCGCTAGGTCGTGTAATATTTAAATTTTCGCAAATATTAAATATGTTAATCTGACCTGCCTCCTACCATAAAGCCGTCTTTAAGATACTTCTCAACTTCAGGTCTTAAAGATATTTTAGGAAAAACAGGCATTTTTTTTCTTGCTTAGTTCTTCAAGATGCTGAAAACGGTAGGTTTTCTTTCCAAATTGCAGACAGCAGTGTCTTCACAATGAGTAGCTACGAACAGTATAGGGACCACCAGGCATCCAGAGAAATCGCGCCATTCAGGTCAAGCCGCGTAAGGAAACGCGTGGAGCCCTTCATGATTTCTCGAGTTTTGCCTAATTAGAAGCGGCCTCTTTGCCTCCAACACCCCAGGCTCCCGTCCTCGGCGGATGTTCAGGGAAATACCGCACTGGATGACAGTGACACGTTGCAGAGAGTATCAAACAAAATGCTGTGTGTGTGCCTTTTGGTTAACTGAACACAGTAGCGCATCATCAGCTCCGCCGCTCCGAGTATTACATCCTGGTTTCCGATCACGCCCCCCCCCCTTTTGCCGACAGCGACTTTAAATCAGATATTAAGGTCTTTCCCTCTTTTTAAAGACCAGGGACGCAGCTGTCGATCTAGAAAGCCACGAGAGTCTCAAAACCTTTGTGAAGGGTGACTGCGGAGGGAGCGCTCACCAGCGGAAATTTCCCACTGCCCTATCTATCCTAGCATCTCCCAGGTGCTACCCGCCCACCGGAAGCGAGACCGGAGGAAACGCCACGTCGACGGGGTGGGTGGACGTATTGCATTGACGTCACGCGTCGAATTTCCGGCGATGGGCGGTCTTCGGAGCCCAAGGAGGCGGGGCGGAGGCGGGGCTTGGCGCTGGTGGAGACTACTGTGGGTAGGTGGGTTGAGACCAGGGGACTACGGGTCGGCGTTGGGCACAGCGGACCCGAAACAAAGGACTCTCGGCCCCCTCTCGGCGCGGCGTCTCGTCTGCTGTGGCTGAGCCGTTAGGTCGAGTGTGCGCGGCCGACCGGTGCCTTCGCCGCGGCGTCTCGGTGGGCTCCTGCTCGGTCCCCACGGCCAGCGCCGCGGTGCGGGACCCGGCTCGGCGGCACCTGCTGCTTAGGGAGCCAGCGGCCCGGCCCCGTGCTCATGATGGGGCTGATTTTCGCTAAAGTATGGAGCCTCTTCTGTAATCAAGGTGAGGAGAAGAGAGCTGACCCCGCAGGGACAGCGGAGGACGGTGCTCTGGGGACCAGGGCGCCCAAGACGCCGAGATGTGGCCCGGTGGAGGGGCAGCAGAAACTCGGTGTTTCAGACCGGAGGGCTGTGCCGGGGAGCCCTGGGGTGGGTAGAAGGGGGATCGGTGAGGAGTCTGCTGTCCCAGGATCCAGACTGGGGGCTTTTGGCCAAGCCAGGCGGGAAGCACCTAATGATGCCTCGAGGGCCTTTTCTGTCTCTTTCGAAGCTTCCTCGCCTTCCCTTTAGTTTTGGCTATAGTTTGCCCGCGAGAAACTTTCTTTTTCATTTGTTTTCTCTTTAATTTTTTTACCGACTTGGTGTTGTTTTCCGGGCCGCTCTCTGGACCTTCACGTTCTTTCAGATGTTACCTGCTCTATAGGACGAGTTCTAGCGAGATACACGGTTTCTGGAATCATCATTGTACTTTTCCTGGTCCTATCGCCTTCTTTTCTTTTTATTGTTATAGATGTTAAAGAAACTAAACGCTTTCGGTTTGTGTAAGGTGTTACGTAACGGTAATTAAGTTAGTCTAGAACAGGTTATGAGGCACCTGGCAGCTGCCAGTCCAAAGGGCCAAGAAGTTGTGCAACCTGTTCTGAGTCAGAATGAATTTGATGTGGGGTTTTCTACAGGGAGAAAACACCCAGATCAAAAAGGGCTGGCAGTCAAGTTTTAGGTGTTCTCTTAACAGAATAGTTTCTTAGTAGTTGAAACCAATTTTAAATTCAGCTAGCTTCTTGCCTGACACAGTGTATGAAGTATTTTTGTATGACGATACTAATTTGTTACTATTCATGTATACACACTTGTTCTGGACTTAAGAAGTGGTGAAGAGAATGTAATAGCTTTGTTCATTTTTTCTATAGATCGACAATGACAATACAATAGTCCTCAGTTTTGTAAATAAAAATATTGTACATATATGGCAATAAAATAGATTCATATACATACACATATGTGTATACTCATGTGCAGTTTCTACAGGTAAATAGCACTTTTCAAGTGATTTCAAAGTGACCAGAGTTCAGCTTCTTGTGGCTATTTTTTATGAATTTAAATATATTATTTTTCAACAATTTATATTTTGTAATCCTTGTAATATAAATTCTTGTAGCAGAGTATTTTAATACACCATTAAAAGTATCAGTGTAATAATCACATCAACGTAACAGTGATTAATAATCACCTGTTACTGTTTTCCTAATTTAAAAAATGAAAATCATTGAAGCGTTTGATTCTTTTGTGAGCCCCATCCCATTCTCCTTTCTCTTTTATCACTGCTGTGTATCTTTTCTGCTTTGATGCTTCCTTAATTAGACTTTGAAGGAAAGAAAGAGATAAAGGGAAGATACAGAAGATAATAAGATATTCACAGTCTACTTTTTATAGTCATATCATTGTTCAGGTCACCTAAGTCCCCATTTCTTCCTGGAATTTAACTTCCCTTTTAAAAAGTTAGAACTAGTGGTTTTTCTACTATTTCTATTCTCCTGTTTTGTAACATTTACTAGTATTGTAGTTCATTATCTAGTCTTCAAATTCAATGTTTTGTTTTTTTTGTTTGGTGGTACCGAGGATTGAACTCAGGACCTTGTGCTTGCCAGGCAGGCAGTTACGCTGCTGAGCTAAATCCCTGGCCCTTAACTAGTCTTCAAAATTAGGCATGGGAGGTACCAAGATTAAAAACAAAAAGTTAAAGGTGATTGCTCTCAGAGTACTCAAAGATTAGTAAATTAGACCTCAAAAAATGGAGTGAGGTAAATTATTTAACAGATGTTTGTAGAAATGCAGTGATGGCACAAGAAAGAAGTGAACCATTTTTCTCGGGTAGTTCTTGGGAGATTTTTACAGAGTAAGTCACACTTGGATTTAATAGGGCATAGGAGGCTAGAGGTACATTGAGGGGATGGTGTCAACTATTTTAGACAGGACTAATATGCAAAAGGAGTGGAAGGAAATAATTTGGTACATTTGAGGAAGCTGATAGTAGTTTAGTTTGCATAGTGCCTTAGTTTGGTTGTTGCAGTTAAATGAGATTTGGTAAGGATGGATCTGGGGACCAGATCGTAGAGGAGCTCAACTGTTGACCAGGGCATTAAGCTCTGTAGAGAAATTAAAGCCATTAAAGAGATTGGTCATTGGATGTTTTTTCCAAAACAGGAGAATCAGGTGATCAGCTTCGTATCTTAGTTTGTATTTTTGTTTTCTGTATCAACAGAATCAACTACCAGTCTTAGGATTTTTGTTCACCACCATACACATCTAATCCAAAGGTACTCAGTTTTGGTTGAATATTGGAATAATATGCCCAGGGTCCTGCTTTAAATTAGTGAAATGTGAATACCAACATGATTCTGGTGAGCAGCCAGTGTTAAGAACTGCTGATCTATCTTTTGGACTTCTTTCTCTTATCTTTTTTTTTTTTTCTTTTTTCTTTTTTTTTTTTTTTTTTAATCGGTACCAGGGATCGAACTTTTATCTTTTAATCTTTCATTATTATGCCTTTTTTGTTTTTTATTATATTATAGAGCCCCAAGCATCTACTCATAAGTTACCTTTCTAGAATAAGTGTATTATAACATGTGTTGCCTAAGTGAAGAATTTGTGTAATATTGTATTAATTTGAGGTGAGAGGGCTAATTACTTTGGCACAATTATCATTGAAGGAAATAATTTCAAAATCTAAATACCTTTCAAAACGTTCTTTTGTACGTAAGTGGTTATGTATGTATGTTTTTACAAAATGCATACTTGAGAATGTGTTGGTACTTTTAAACTCATCTCTCCGAAGTTTGGCTTTTTTAAAATTTCTTTTTAAGTCTCATGGGCATAGTCTTTCCTTTTCTGTGTTGTGACTGTAGTCAGTAGTCATCAGTTTCTTCTAATGTTATCCAGAAAGACTAACAAAATAGGTTTTAGTTGCAGTTCACTTTCATAGCCAAATAATAACATCTTCATATTATTATCTAATGATTTTTTTTCATTGGTTAATTTCATGTTCATCACCCTTGGCATTGATACCTGACTTTGTATGAAAGTGTTACCGTTTATTTCTTACTGCTCAAATACTGTCTTATATTTTTCCTTTTAGCTTATTCTCTAACTGCTGAACTTTTTACTGGTTTCCAGCACATTAAACTTAAACTTACTGTCTGTTATGGTTTGTGTCTAGATGTCCCCCAGAGCCTCATGGGGTTAGGCTTGTAGAGTCTGTGGCTGATTCATGATCCAATGCTGGGATTATGAGTGTGAGTGTTACATTCACTTGAGGGTGGGTAGCCTACATACAATATAAAGGACGGTCTTCTTTGTGCACTTCTTCCTTTCGCTCATCTCTTTTGCTGTCTGCCATCCTCATGAACTGTTACTACTATGCTATGAGCCATCCTGCCTTTGGCCCTAATGATTGTGGACTGCAACCTCCACAAACTGTGAGCTAAATAAACCTTTCCTTCCTTAATTTGGGGGCTCTGATATTTTGTCTCAGCAACAGCAGACAAGTAACAAGAGCACTGTCTGCTTTGTCTTCTAGAACATTATACTTTTGTAAGCATGAGCTCATTAATTCATTTAGATTTCTTACACATCCTGTTCCTCAGAGGCTTTCTTGACTAGTTTTCCAAAAATAGCACCCTTCCCACTCTAGCTTTCATTCTGTCTTTACTGTGTTTCTGAGTAATGTTGGTCACTACCTATAATTGTATTTTACATTTATGTATTTTTTTTTCTTTTAGTAGAAATAAACTCCCTAAGACATGATCTTTGTGTCATTCACTGTTGTATTCCCTGTGCCTTGATGCTTTCTGTCAATTTCTTAGTTTTTTTAAGTATAAAACTGTATATCAAAGTCATACATACAGATAAAACTAAAAGTGCTAAAGTCTTGAAATGCTGTATATCAGTTATATTTCTTTCAATGCTTAACTTTTCTTTCAGTGTCACGTACATATTTCTTGAATACTATGCCTGTCTGGAAATTGTAAACACTTTGTCTTGTGATAGAAAAGAAGTGCTTTTATGTCTGTTACCCTTTTTTCATTATCCTAATATAAATTTGATTTGATCTGGACTCTGCCTTTCCATTATTGTGGCAATATTGCTAGTGTGATATATTCCTTTTCTTCTCTATTTCTCCCCAGAGAAATTATGACATTGTGTCAGTTTTCTTTGTACATTTGATTAAGAGATTTCACAATATCCCAAAGCCTTCCTGTAACAGTTTTTCCCACCATACACCTAAGAGATTGTGTATCTTTCCTCTTTACACCCTGTGTCTTCCTTTCTGGTCCAAACCCAACATGGCTTTTTGTGCTCTGTACACAGCTATTCTCTGCTTGTCCTTGCTCTTATTCTAGGAATTTCCTATGCCTTTCCTCTTTCATTAAACCATGTCTTCCGCCTTCTTTATATTTAACATTGGTGGAACACATCCTTTAGAATTTCCTGAGAGTGTATCCGTTAGTGGTAAATTTTATGGCAATTCCAAATGTCTGAAAATATATTGATTTATCCTTTTACGTGAGTTTGGGCTAGTTACACAATTATGAGTTGGAAAACACTACTTTCAGAATTTTCAAGAGACTATTTTAACCTCCAACTTGCAGTGTTTGTGGTACAGACCTGTATCATTCTTGGCTTCTTTCTACTATATTTTAGAATTTTCTATTTATACCCAGGAATTTTACAGGGCGTACCTTGTATTTCTTTTGATTTTTGTGAACACACTAGATCTTTTCAGCCTAAAGATGTACCTCATTTAGAAATTTTAAAAAAATTATCAGGAATTTTTTTCTACTTTTCTGAAAAATACTCTTGTGGTAAATTGTCTATTAAAGACTTTTTTAATATATTCTAGTATATTGTCTTTTTTATTGTTACTACTGTCTTCCAATCTTCCCATTGGATATTATGGTTCAGCTACTGTATTTTTTACTTGCTATTATTTTATAAATGCTGTCT